ACTTGGGAGGCTGAAGCAGGCGGATCTCTGTGAGTTCAAGGCCAGCCTGGTCTACATAGTGAGTTCCAGGCCAGCTGGGGCTACAGGGAAACCCTGTCTCAAAAAGATCAAAAAGAACAAAAGAAAAAGAAAAAAACCAGACAAATGGGGCCAGAGAGAAGACTCAGCAAGTAAAGGCACCTGTTGCAAAGCTTGACCTGAGTTCAGTCCCCAGCACACAGTGGAAGGAAAGAACCAATTCCCCACAAATTGCTCTCTGATATCCACACTGATGCAAGTGGGCCATCCCCAACAAGCAATAAACAAAATGTAATTTTTAAAAAATTTAAATTTATTTTTATGTATTATTTTTTTGTTTTGTTTTTTTGAGGTAGGATCTCCCTTTAGCTTCAAGCTGGCCTGAAACTTACTATGTGGTCCAGGTTGGCCTTGATCTCACAGAAATCTGCCCACCTCTGCCTTCTGGGTAGTAGGATTAAAGGTGTGTGCCACCTTGTCCAGCTTTAATTTTGTGTATGAATATTTTGGCTTCGTATATGCAAGTATACTACCTATGTGCAATGCTCACAGAGTCCAGAAGAGGTTTTTGAATTCCCCAGAACTGGATTACAGAGGTTAGTTAGCTGCCATGTGGGTGCTGGGAACACAACCCAGGTCCTCTGCAAGAGCAACCAGTGCTCTTTTTATTGGTCTTTTTCTGTAGCCCCAGCTGGAACTTGCTATATGGAACAGGCTCTCTCACTGAGATCTACCTGCCTCTCCCTCTTGAGTGCTGAGATTAAAGGCATGCACCACCCTACCCAGCTAAAATATAATTTTAATTTTATTCTTTTTAAATTTTTTTATTTATTATTTTTATTTTATGTGTATGAGTGTATTGCCTGCATGTATGTGAGTGCACCTGTGTCGTGTATTGCCTTGGAGGTCAGAAGAAGGCTTCGGATTCCCCTGGAACTAGAGTTAAGGATAGTTTGTAGCTGCCGTGTGGGTGCTGAGAATTGTACATGGGTCCTCTGCAAGAGCAGTCAGTGCTCTTAACCACTGAGCCATTTCTCCAGCCCTCAATTTTATTCTTTTTACTTATTATTTTTTTTTTTTGTCATTTTTTGAGACAGGGTCTTCCTGTAGCTCCGCTGGCCTGGAACTCATTATGTAGACCAGGCTGGCCTTGAACTCACAGAGATCCACCTTCCTCTGCCCTCCTGAGTGCTTGAATTAAAGGTGTGCACCATCACTCCTGGCTTAAAATATAACTTTTTTTAAAAAACAAACGTGATTTTTCAAAATTTTTATTTTATTTTGTATGAATGTTATGCATGCATGTGTATAAGTGTACCTGTGTCATGTGCAGTGCCCATGGAGGACAGAAGAGGGTGTTGGATGCCCTGGGACTGGAGTTACAGATAGTTGTAAGCCACAATGTGGATGCTGGGATCCAAACCCAGGTCTCTTGCAAGAACAGCCAGTGCTCTTAATTGCTAAGCCCTCTCTCAGCCCCAAGATCTGAGTTTTTAAAATTTACATGTATGTGTGTGTACATGCATGTGAATGTGGGTGCCCATGGAGGCCAGAAGAGGGCTTCAGGTCCTTGGAGCTAGAGTTATAGGTGGTTGTGAACTGTCTAATGTGATTGCTAGGAGCAGAACTCCTCCTGCCCTTTGGAAGAGCAGCAATTTCCATTTCTTTAGTCCCAAGATATGATTTTGTTTTTTTGGTCTTTTTGAGACAGGGTCTCCCTGTAGCCCCAGCTGTCCTGGATTCACTATGGAGACCAGGTTGGCCTCGAACTCACAGAGATCCGCCTGCCTCTGCCTCCCAAGTGCTGGGATTAAAGGCATGCGCCACCACACCC